AGTTAGAGAGCGAAAGGAAATATGATCAAGGTCAAGGTAAAGGTCAAATAAAGGTTGCAGTGACCTGGTTTTGGTACTCTGCACACCTTCTCCCCAAGATGTGTAAGTACACCAAGTTTGGTCACGCTAGGTCAATTAGGGGTCGAGTTATAGAGCGGTAGGGAAATTCTCTGCGGTGGACCGAGCGGCGGCGGCGGCTTGGGAGACATGAAACCATAGTATCCCCGCCGACTTCGTCGCGGGGGATACAATAACTGCTTTACCTGAAAGTGCTGTTTTACTTGCTCATTGGTAAGACCTAGGTGGCGCTGGCATGCACCGGGGTTGCAAAAGCAGCCAGTGCGCAACTGAATGTTGTACAGACTGGCCATCTTTTCAACCTGCACGAATAAAAACATTTCAACCTGATAATGTATACGATCATGCATGTCAACACGAAACTTTCCATCTAAATCATTGACAGTCACCTCGATTTCATGCTTCACATTATAATTGTTATAGAGTTAAGGTTCTGAATAGAAAACCCACATTGTATGCAATTATATTAATCATTAAAATAATTTTGTGAAATTCAAACAATAATTTTTTTTATATTACTAATTAAATGCATACTCATTCCTTGTGATAGAGTACAACTAAAGGAATCCACATACTATTGGTATCACAGTATTCAATATTGTGAAACTACACTGTCTCATATGTACCTCACCTCTGCGTACCCCTCATACTCTCCTGTCTCCTTTAGGATATTAAAGGCAAGAATCGCACCCTGGGTAGCCACATTGTCATATCGTGTGTCGCAATAGATTCTGGCCACTGGTGCCCCATTGTGGTGGCAGAGAGCGTCCAGTCTTTCGTACACATACCTGCCACACAGCATAGAATCTGGAGTCAAGCCTAGCCGGGTTGGCACGTTCGTAAATAAGATTTCACAGCCCACATACAGTATATAACCTAGACAACGCCAATCCAAATCTGAATCCAATCTTAATCCAAAGTGCTTGAGCTCAGTACTTGACAAGAAAGCAGTCTGTGTGTGTGTGGGTGGGTGGGTGCGTGCGTGCTTGTGTGCATGCGTGTCTGCATGTCTGTCTATCTGTGAGAGAGAGTGGGGTGTATCTTCAATCCATGACCATCCTACTCACTAACTGATCAGTGAGAGGCTGGGTTTTCTTCGTAGTACCTCGCGAGTGAGAACGCGTATGATGAGATGTGGTGGATGCCACCTGCCATACCCTCTAGCACATCAAACCCATGTCTGAGTGCTGCGATTTCTAGAAATGGTATGGTACCATCTTCGAACCTACAAGAGAGAAGGTACAGTAGTAATATATTAACATCAATGATATTATTCTCACATATTGTGCTTGAGGTACAATAAGTAATATAAAAACCTGACATGTGATATGTGTATCAAACAGGATATATCTATCACTCCACGTGATATCTAACACTGACATGACTAGCTCTGTCAATCAAAATAAAATACTTTGAGATTAAGCTGCCAACACCAATAAATCAACCAATCAAATAGTTCACCGAGCATTACATATGACACTGATAAGAGCTCACATTAAATCCGGTCAAAAATTACAGGCTTGCGAGTGGAATATTATGAACTTTTATGGTTTTATGTAGAATATCACTGATAACCAACGTATTACATGTACCTCAAAACCAAGAACAGACGTAGAGGTCACCACATTACATAAACCTGGTATACAGAATACAGACAGCACCACCTGACCCACCATGATTGATTTTTTCACACACACACACACACACACACACACACACCTTTCACTGATGCCTAGCCTGCAGGTGTGGTACCTCTCACTGGCTAGTGATACCTGAACAGTCCCGCCGCCGAAGTATGTCCTCGCCAGCGCCCCCTGGCTGTCGTTCCTCACCAGCAGAGCTCCGACACCCGTCGGATACCCAAACATCTTGTAGAACGAGACAGCAACATAATCCGGCCGGTGTTCTCCAAGATCGAGCGGAGCTGTACCTACGAGCGCCGAGGCGTCCAGCAAGACGTACCACGCGGTGCCATCTACGTACGTATTGCTGCCGGCAACGGGCGGGGCGGTCGTCTCCTGAGTTTCGTTTTCGCTTTGCTGCATGGGCCGACGATCATCGAGGGCACCACCATGCACCGCAGCCACCCAACTAAGTGGATACTTCCTGCCTGAAAAGTTGCACTGGGCGGGCATGGCGAACAGAGACTTGCATGCGCGCTGGTGGCGGAGCGTTGAAACGCCGTCGCGCCATTGCAGATCAGCTGTCAGGCGTTCGACATCGGAGATGGACACGCAGTTGACCGACGCGCCGCGTTGCGCGGCAACCTCTCTCATGCCCAGCACTGACGTGTGCGAGTCGTTCAGGTAGCAGAAAACACCCGGCGCTCGACCGGTGGTGCCATCTGTCCACCGGAACGAATCGGCGACAAGCTTCAGCGCGGCTGTGCACCCGGCGGTGAATACGACGGAGTAGTCGTCGCTTGACGTGCAGAAAAACTTCAGTACTCTGAAAGGTAGGTGTTTGTATTAGAAATATTATTATTTCGCCACCAGGGAGAGTGAAAGAGGGTGACAGGAGAGAAGGAGAGGAGAAAGATGAATGACTTGACGGATGGACAGACGGATGGGCGAACAGATGGGCGGGCGGACGGACAGACAAATAGATGGATATATAGAGATATATATAGAGAGAGATAGAGAAAGAGAAAGGGGGATAGATTACAGGAGGATAAGACACAATGGTGTAGATGAGAACAGTAAACAGGGGGCAGAGGAAATATAGTAGAAAATTAAGAGATGCTAGAATTGAGGAGGAATAGACTGAAAGTAAACATGAAGGGAAAGGAGTGGTATATGTACTGCTGAGATTATTATGATATGAACAGAAAGTCAAACCTGAGTCGTGTTCTTTCAATCATCTCTGTGGCCAATTGACTACTCGAGTGTCTACTGTGTGGATTGCCATAATGATTGGAGAGCAAGTCCATATGTGTAGCATTGATCTGACTTTTTGTGTACAGGGCTGCTGCTGCATGATCAAGATATATGCCTGTGAATAAAACGTTTAAAGAATATTTCAGTCAATTGATCGTATTGATTCTTTGTATTAGTTGAACTTAAGACTATATAATATTAATAACGTATGCTATTAATTATCTAACAAAATAAAAAGCCAATTACCATCTATTTCACATGCAATGTTCTATACTTTGACTCATAAATGAACATCTATACTATAGATTCTATAGAATGTAAAGCTGCAATAATAATTATGCAATTCATGCTGACTGACATTAAGTTTGATGGGTAGTGGTTTTATGGTCAATTGTTTACTCAAACATGAAGTACAGGTAACCCTTGTTCAAAGCTGCCATAGTAAGCAATATTACTTTTCACTGATCAATGAGGGCCCGGGTTTGTACAGGTATTTTATATAATTGGGTAGAGATCAAGTTACATCACCCATGCAGCCTCCCTAATAAACTATATTACTTGTTGACCACCAAGAAACAGAGCGTCAGAAGAGTGAAGAAGAGACAGAATGGAGAAGAGATGTGGCTTTAAGATTACAGTGAAATATTTTTTGTTAAATATGGGTGAAATATGATTAACTTATATATACTTTCACGCAATAACTTTCCGCCCTCATGCCACCTGCTCAGATTTTAGGGGATGTGATATACGTTGTTGGCCACAAAAAAAATTGCCAAAATCTCTTCAATTTGTGTACACATGTGAGGTTATCACATAAATAAAATAAGTCAACACATTTTTTACCCATCTGTTTTACTCTACCATGAAAGCCCTTCCATTTCTGCATGAAATGTGGCTCATGTGGAATGTGAAGGTGGCATATAGTTTATTAGGTTGGCTGTGTACACAATGTAAGACACTAAGCATATAATTACTCAAACACATGTGTTATTATATTATTTGACTCCCCCTCATAGCATGTAGGCCTATATGGCTGTATATCACGGCCGTTATTCAGTTTAGAATATGTCAGGGGTGCAGCCACACTCTGTCGATTATTTGCACTCCCCACCCCAACCACATTCATAGTTCCATATATGGGTGTATACATATATATATAAATAGTAATTGACGTTTAGCCGTACCAATATTCTGTGTACCTTTTTGCAATCGTCCAAATTCAAGAACTCGCAGCGCTTGCAAGCTGTCACTGTGGTGCCGCAACATATTGACAGTGCCTGCTAGTTGTTCCATGCCTGCACGCTCAGCTGAAATATAACAGTGAACATGATAATTCCATAGCTTAGCATGTTTGTAAGAAAGAGCATTGTACATAATTATGTAGAGTACCGGTACGTGCTGCTTCAGTATCTGAAGATACAATATTAAAATATAATCAAGAGCATATAAAGAAGGAGAGCGTACAACGGTAAAATGCTGAAACCATGTTGCAGTATTAGTCGAATTAATAAACTTTCCCCGTTTTATTTTGACGATTCTTTGAATTATTGTAGCATTATTGATCAGCTGTCCTACCTTGTTCATATAAAACATACCGCATGTCCCTACGATGCCCCTACGCTGAGATAATGAGCGGTGAAAATCTGGTATTTTATGAAGATAAACCCGCACCCTCAGATTAGCAAAGCGGAGTTATAACGTCTGCATTTGCGGACTAGATATACGGTAGATAAAATAATGTAACCCAAACACAGGATAGGTACCTATCCTGTGTTTGGGTTACATTATTGTATCTAGACATATGGTAATATAGTAAAAATTGTCCTAACCTGCCAGCTATTTAGTATTGTGACTAGCAGTAACACCGCTAAGGAAGCTGTATACAGCTATAACCAATTACGGCACTTTTGCTGTTTTTTAACATGATATTGAATAAACACGAATTGTATTTTCAATCACACTGGTAAAGTCGGTGCAATCCGTAAATGCCGTTCAAATGCTCCTCTGGCTCTGCAACACACAATCTCACTGCACGCACGCCACTGTTCACAAGCTAACAGAAAGATAAAGTACTTGATTCATCTGCACATCTTTTATTTAGTGGCAGTGCATTCTTAGATTCTATATCTTTCTACGAGTTAGTGCACAGTCACGGCCTGTGGCAGAGCGAATGGCTAGACCACAGGCACTTGAAGCATTTCAATAAAATATAATGCTAAATAAATACGAAATCTATTTACTACCAAATTCTTAATGTTTCTATACTCTCTTTCACCTAGTATTATTGCCGACAGTTTCCTGTAAATTTCGTCCAAATCCTATGTACAACATATTGTTTCTCTACTCTATTTCTCCTATAATCACCTGTAAATGCCGGTGAAATGCTCATCTGCAACACACAATTAAGTACACCGCACGCCCGCCATGTGCACAAACAACATGAATAAGAGAACAGGTAGGAAAGCGTGATCACGAAATTCACTCGACGCTCGCTTCATTTCACACGATCACAGAACAAAAACACATCCAATAGCTCCCATCTTGGTAACTGGGTTACAGCCCTATAGACCGAAGGTCCGATAGACCGAAGGTTTATTCGAATACGCAGTTGTTACACGTCCGGAATCGGTCGCCTAGCCTCCAGGCTACGCATCCGGACATCCAGTGATGCCGTATTCGAACGTGAATATGCCGCACATCCACCGATGCCACTATAAACCATATATATGCCCTAACCCTAACCCTAACTCTAACCCTAACCCTTTGCAATATTCGGTCTATCGAACCTTCGGTCTATCGGACCTTCGGTCTACAGGGCTGCCCCCATCTATGTGTACATAAATGTTCACTTCTGTTCGAATATAGACTCTGCGCCTTTGTTTTCTTAACCTACTCTCCCGCCAGAGATACTCTCGTGAAATCCTGCGAAATGTTCTCTCCGTGAAGAATGTAAAAGAGGACCGAGATGTCTCGTTTATAGCGTTGAGCTAGATGGGCGCATTGGCATGCCGCGATGATCTGCTGCCGGCTCTCATCGATCTCCATGTTCGAGGCCCGCAATCAGGCGGCGGGCAGGCGGCGGCACCCAAACAATGCGCCGCGGGAATGACTCAACGCACACAGCACTACAGCGATTGATCGAAAGGGACTGCCGTTAGGGATTTTCGATGAATTACGTCCCTCTTTACCATGTTCAACGGAGAGAACATTCCTGCAGATTCAACATATATGTCTCTGCGGGAGTAGGTAAAGAACAAATGCCGAGAGTTATAATTCGAACCAAGGAATCTATTATACACAATAGCATAGGCAATATGGGAACTGTTTGGATGTGTTTTTCGTTCTGTACGTGTGAAATATGAAGGCTTTGAGAGTCTGAGCGTCGAGCGTGAGCCATTTCGCGCCGATTTCAGCGACGCTTTTCCTACCTGCTCTCGTATTTCATGTTGTTTTGTGCACATGCGGGCGTGCGTGTAACTTGCGTGTTATGCAGATTACAATTTGACCCACAATATATATACCAGTGGCTACGGGTATGGTAGCCGTCGGTCGTTGGAAGCCCCTTATTTTGGCGTTAGTGGTTTAGGAATATATTAGTAGTGATAGGGTTAATGTTAGGTTTAGGGGTTTATGGTTAGGGTTCAGTTTAGGGTTAGGGTTTAGGCGTTTCTAGCTGCATCTAATAACTCTGTAAATCGTGATTTTATTTCCGCAAGGCTTATTCGATAAACTCCGCCACCGCCGGCCATCTTGTCTCGTTAAGTAGAAAGGCGAAATGACCTCCCGTACCCGTAGGCCCCTCGCGACATTAAGAGTATCGGCTACCGTACCCGTAGGCCATAATAACAATAATCTAAGAGCCAAACCCAAGAGGATAGGTTAGGTCAAAGGTCTCGGCTATCCTTTTCTGCGCAGGAATCCTCGAGTGAAATGCACCTCGGGCCGGTTTGCTGTGCGTTTTCAAGAGACATAGAACTTCCAAACTGGTTTATTCTAAACAGCGTGAACCTTTTCTTTTCTCTGCCCGCGGATCGGAGCTTACTAATGTATCCGCAATACTCTGTATACTAATATAACGCTTTAAAAAAATCGAAGTGACGAGCGCGAACTATCCTGAGCGCCATTTCTGTTGACTGTTGACGGTATTGCATTTCCCAAATGCGCAATAGCGATGGCAATACGCCTAGCGCCCTCCCGATTGTCAGGTGAAATCCGCTCTTCACGACCCGAAGTACGCACAGGTCAACAGAAATGGCGCTCCAGGATATTCGCCGCCGTCAACTCGAATTTTTTGTAATCAGTTATCCTTAGTTTAAACAGATATTTGCGAATACATATAAGTTTCCGAATTCGCGAGGAAGTTCGTGTTAGTAATAAAACCCAGTTTGGAATCTTTCGTAGTCTCTGAAAACGCCCAGCAAACCCGGCCGAGTGATTTAACTCGGGCATTCTCCAGCAGAAAAGAAGCGAGAACTTTGTAACCTATCCTCTTGGGTTTGGGTTACATTATTGTATCTACCGTAGCCACTGCCATATATATATATATTTATGTGTCAGTGTGCACGCAATGGCGGCGGCGTGTGTTTACAGTTGAAACGCTTCAAGTTCAAGTGCCTGTGATTTGACCGGCATTTACAGGTGATTATACTAGGAGAAATAGAATAGAGAAACATTAAGACTTTGGTACATTTCGTGTTTATTTACCATTAATTTTTTTTATCGAGACGTACCAAGTGCCTATGCCATGGGTGAGACTGTTGTGTTGAGTGTTGCAAAGCCAAAGGCAAAGAAGCACTTGACTTGGACGGCACTAACTTAGTAACTACCCTAGAAATATTAGACGATAGAGAATAAATAAACATTATTACCATTTATGTTTATTTACAATCATTTTATTATTAAAACAGCCAGAGTGACTATAACACTGTTTAGTGTCAGTTGACAGTTGTGGACCATTACTCATTATTGCGAACAGGTCTCCGATGCGATGATAGAGGTTGCCATGTTGATACCACCGCTATAGTCTAGACGGGTCCCCCGACACTCTACATTGTGCTATTACATGAGAATTAATCTTAGTACGCGAAGACTGCATGCCAGTCTAATCGTTTCCACCGGTCACTTGTGTTTAATGTTCCCGCTCGCCAAAAACCGGTTGCTTATAAACCGTTACCTATCGCTTATGCGCTCACGTATCCGACAACCTACCGCAACTGGAACAATTAACCCACCGAAGCAAAATTACCGCCCCGGACAATACCCACCCAGGACAATTTACCCACCCGGACAACCTTTGTTGTTATATGTCTTATTTTTCTTTCTGATTTCTCGCTTGTCTTTGTTTTACACCCGGAACAATTACCCACCAGGACGAACCCCACAGGACAATTTACCGCACCTAGGACAAACACCCACGAAACAATTACCCACCCGGACAATTACCCACCCGGACGAATTACCCACCAGGACCAATTACCCCTACCCCCGGACGATTACCCTAGCCCCCCCCACACAACACCCGTACAGTAATGATGGTTATCTAAACGACCAAACTTCATGATTCATAATTTGCAAGCTCAACATTCGCTGATACTCGCCGTTATTTTACTTATTTGCGAACATTCTTCCCGTTGTTTATTGAAAGTCATATCGCAAGTATCGGCCTTCACCTGCGCATCAGCACGAGAAGCGAAGCGCAGCCTACCATGCACACGCTACATGTCTAGACATTTTTCTTGGTCGCTTAAATATCAATGAATAACCGTAATCACAGTTTATTTTTACGTGCCGCACACTCGCATGGCAAAGTCGCCGCGTCCCGTTATTCTTGTAGTGTGTTCTTCGTTATTGTTCGAAGGTAGAATTTATTGTTATTAAAGGTGATAACCCGCGCTATTGCAATTCGCGTAATGCAAAACTCGCGTAAATCAAAAACAGCAGCGACGCGACACCCACTTTTAATTTTACGCCTTTCCGTTACATGTAAGTAACACTTTGCCTACGCGACAGTGCTGGCGATACTCGCGCGCGGAGCGTCGCTCCCGCGCCTAACTCGTCTCGCATGCTGAGTCGGTCATCTGTGCTATCCTCACGCTCGCGTATCCTACCGATAGTCGTTCGATTTAGTCGAATTGCCTGAAAATTGCAGTCTGCTCCCTCGAGCGGTTTATTAAAATTTCAATAAACATCATTAATTTATATATGCGATATAATGGAAAAATTATGTGTTTTAATAATGTACACAGTTATCACTACGCTGCATCAGCATAAAAATCTGAAAAATCTTATAAATTCAGAGAGCCAATGTGAAACATGATTTAAACCTCATATATTGACATTCAGTATGAATTTTGAAACTTTATCACAATTCTAATTCATTACACAACATCAGAATGACCCATTGTTTCAATTTTGCCGCAATGTCTAAATTATTGTTATAACTGATTGCATAAGTGAAGAAAGCGATGTTCATATGCAAATATACAGTACTCAACATTGGCAGATTAACATGACCTGTTAAAATCAATTTTATATATCACGCCTGTGAAAATTGACAAATTAAAGTACTATTTGCAGTTAAACTAGTGATGTATTGACCCATGTGTCAAATTGCTGGATTAAATATCATCAATCCTCACTAAAATATAAGCTAGGAAAAAATTGCAGCTATTAAGCATACATCCTGCCTCAAATTTGCACATTTTGCATCAAAATATAGAAAGATTTTCTTGGAGGCATGCCCCCCAACCCCACTTCACACAAGTATAACACTGTAATAAATCTGTTAATCAGTATAATTCACTCAGCGTACACACACAAAATCACACACACGCACGCACACAGACCACGCACGCACGCACACAGCCACCACATAATACGCACACACGCACAAACAGTCTGCTAACATAACGTACATGGGCAAGAGCAAGATCATTGGGGATACAACATTCCGTAATTATAGGAGGGTAAGGGGCGACTCCCACCCCCGTCCCAATTATCGACGCCGTCTGTTCTCTGACACATGGTTAGCATTTCTTTTTTTTTCCAAGCATTACATTATGTATCTGCAGCGGACAAATATTTTACGGAAGGGATTTTCCCTTATTGGAATGGTTAGGTGCGTAATTGTCGCTGGTGGGTAATTGCCTGTGGGTAAATTGTCCTGAAGGGGTCATTGCATCCTGGGGGGATAATTGTCCTGGTGGGTAATTTGTCCTGGTGGTAATTGTCCGGTTTGGTAATCGTCCGGTGTGGGTAAATTGTCCTGGTGGGTAATTGTCCGCGGGGATAATTTGTCCGGTGGGTAATTGATACAGGGTAGTTGTCCTAGTAAATCCGTTATATTCTAATTGTGACTCATGCTAGCTCGTCCGGTCATATTAAACCGTAGAATAAAACGCACCCATCGCGATGTATATTATATGTATGGTCCACCGGAGATAATTGATACCGACA